GCTTGCCCTTTTTAAGTATAAGGGATATATTGGCTTCCCTTAAAGAATTGGGCAAGAGACCCTTTTTAAAGGAGTCATTGTACATGTTCAGCAGCGGGCCAGCTAAAATTTCTCTGAATTCTTTATAAAACTCGGCACATAGTCCGTCTGGTCCCGTTACTTTGCCTCTTTAATGACGTCTAATACCTCCTGTTTTGATATGGGAGAGTCCAATTTGAGGTTCTGGTCTTCAGACACCCTGGGATGGTTAAGAGGGGCAAAAAATACATCCAATAGGTCTGCTGTATTTGTCTGAATTTGCGGTTTATAAAGGTCTTCGTAGAAATTTCTAAATATATTATTAATACTGGTGTTGTCAAAAAACTGTTTACCATTTATATCTTGGATTGAAGTGATGTTCTGAGAGTCTGATTTCTTCTTAGTCAGGTAGGCTAAGTACTTCCCAGGTTTGTCACCATGTTCATATAACCTTTGTCTAGCAAATCTAATTTTAGTCTCTGCATCTTTCGTCAGTAGACAGTCTAATGCCGAACGTAGAGCATAAATCTCTTTGAGTTTACCCGTAGAAGGTTTTTTAAGATAATCTCCTTCTGCGTGTTTTAGCTTGGATTCTAAAACCTTCCTTTGCTCTGCTTGTCTACGCTTTCTACCTTTAGTATATGAAATAATGAGACCTCTTGAGTAGGCCTTTAATGTCTCCCAGAGTAACGACGAGTTATCCGTGGAGGGTGTATTAATTAACAAGAACTGTCTAAGTTCCTCTGTGAGGTAGCCTGTCAATCCTAGATCGTACAGGATAGAGGGGTCAAAGTGCCAATGTCTATCCTGGGGGGCCGGATTCCTGACGTTACAATGAAGGAAAACTGCTGCATGGTCTGATATAACTATGTTACCAATCGAGCTAAACGTAACTGATGGCAAAATAAGGTTTGGGACAAAGAAGTAGTCAATTCTTGTATAACAAGTATGTACTTTAGAGAAAAAGGTAAATTCCTTATGTGCAGAATGCTGTGCCCTCCATACGTCAACATAATCCAATTCCCTACATAAGGTAACGAGGGTCTTGGCTTGAGGTGAAAGGGATGGTTTGCCCTGAGGAGATTTATCCAAAATTGGGTTTAAATGACAGTTAAAGTCCCCACCAATGAATGAGTTTCTAACATTTAAGTCCACAAATTTTGTGAAGGCTGTAATCAAAAAGTCTCCTGGGTGACCAGGGGGACAGTAAATATTCATAATGGCGATTTCCTCTCCATATAAAACACCTTTCACTATAACAAAACGGCCATCGGTATCCCTTATACAATCAAGAGGTGTGAATGGTAGATTTTTCCTAATTAATATAACTGTACCCCTGCTCCTTGATGT